GGCTGGAAAAACAAATCTGCTTGCAGTATCTTTGGGTCATCTCGGAATGGAGATGCTTCAGAAGATGTTTTCTCATGGGAGGGACGCACATTGCCAAACACACAGGCTCAAGCTTCCTGTGCTCGTGTGCTGCTTCGTTCTTGCCATCAGAAGGGGTGTAGTATCCCGTACTCGGTGGGCGATGGCTTTGCCCAGTTCTACCCTTCGTAGTAGAAGAGGCCAAGACCCAACTGGTGCTGGGACAGGTTGCTGTGTGGAAAGCTTTGTAAAAAATGAACAAGTACTTCAAATTTTTCAGTACTCTTAGTGGCTCTTGAGGAACCTTCAGTGCCTCTGCCATGGTCCATGAGTAAGGTGCTCAGCATTCCCTTGGCAGAGTGGTTCAGAGCTCCGATATGGGAACAGAAGCCGCAGCTTCACACCTAGCGAGCACGCAGGCTCTGTGTTGACTGCAGAACACCAATCCTGAGCAAGCAGGATCGCTCCATGAATCGTTCCTGACTTCATCCCTGTTTTTCTGGAGATGGTAGTTGTTAAACTCGAGAAAGGAAATTTAGGATGCTAATACAACTTCCTTAAAAATGAGGTTGTCTGGAGAACCCATTCCCAGAATCATTTGCTGCGTATTGCCAGCAAGACTAACAGTCACAGGTGGGTCCATTAAGAGGTGTGGGGATGGCTTCTGTGCCAGCTCCAGTACAGCGAGTGTGGTTTTAGAGAGTGCTTGAGGGGGTTTGCCATGTGTTGTCCAGTCCTGTTTGATATGGGTTCTGTCCAGAGGAGTCTGCTGCGAGAGCTGGACGCTGTGTGGCCCAAATGACTTGTGCAGAAGTCAGCAGCTGTGGGTAGAGGTTGAGTTGTTGTGCCTTGTTGGTGTCCTTTGCACTTGGTTTGCCAGTGGGTGTGAACATGGCAGCAATTAAATCATATTTAAACCGTTTGGGAAGGCAGCGTGTATTAGATAGACTGGGGTTCAGTTCTCATCTTAAAAAAAACCTGCTTTATAAATTGTTTTCTGCGTATGGAAACTATATATTCATAGATTCATAGATTCATAGATTTCTAGGTTGGAAAAGACCTTAGAGATCATCGAGTCCAACTGTCCCTAATCCCCATTAAACCATATCCCTAAGTAGATCATCCACCCTATTCTTCAACACATCCAGGGATGGGGACTCAACCACCTCCCTGGGCAGCCTATTCCAGTGGCTGACAACCCTTTCAGAGAAGAAATACTTCCTAACATCCAACCTGAATCTGCCCTGACTAACCTTATATAAAGAGATAAACATTCCTTAGGAGTGTGAACTTGTGGAAAGATATAAACATTCCTTAGGAGTGTGAACTTGTGGATATTGCCATACATGTAAAGGTTTGGAGTTGTTGTTGCATAAGTGATGCTAACATCTAACCTAGAAATATTTCCTGTTTCTCCTTTGCCATCTAATTGTGTTTGTGCTGACAGAGTGCTTCAGTAAATATCAGAAGCAGCAGGATTTGGAAGATAAGAGGTTGTCTAGTGCCATGTGAAGGCTGTACCTTTGGGAAATCTAAAGGAAGCAGCGAAATAATCCAGTTTCTAATTTAGTGGGTAAAGTAAATACGTAGTATTTAAAATTACAGGAGATAAGACGCAATCTGACACCAGAAGCAAAGAAGAAACAGCTCAAAGCCCTGATCACCTGATGTTTTTAGCCATTCTGCTCATCTTGTTTCTAAATCCATATATAAAATAGACTGCTGCAGAATTTTTATTGTTATTTTCAGTGTCATTTTAAAGGAGCAAAATGGCTACTGGGTGAATAAATCGGCTATTTCTTCCTTTTTGAAGGGGTATTAACTGTGCTTGTAAAACTCAATGTTCTGGTCTAAACTGGAGCATAGAAAGAAAAAATCTGACTTGGCCTGGAAGTTGTGTGCTAATTTCTTTGTGAAAGAAAAAACTACTGGAGAAATGATCTTGTATGTTATGAGAGAGTCACGAGCTGGATTCTAGGTGAAGGTTTTTTATGGAATACTGAGTAGTGCACACATCCATCTCCGTCGATGCTGTGAACACATCGGGTCGGTAAAATTTCAGCATTAGTTGAACAAAAAGGTAAATGAAGATGTTGGTTTTGGGTTAGGTGAGAGGGGCAGCAGTGGAGCCAGTGCTGTCAGTGGAGCTCGTGAGGAACGGTTTTAACGAGGACTAGCCTCTGTCCCCAGGTTGGTGTCACACGAGTGAGGTGCTTGTCCCCAGCACTCCGGCTGTACTGGGCTCCACAGTATTTCGCTACTGAAGGACGTTAGGCAGGAAGCAGTGAAGTCAGTGTGGCCGTTGGGCAAGCACGGGCTGCTGGTCAGTGCCAGTCCTCGCTGGTCCACGCGTCAGCGCAGCTGGTTTTGCCTTGGTTCCAGTCGCCATCTGAAGGGTGGTGCCCACCTAACACGGAGCCCGGAGTGGCTGTAGTACGGCCTCACTGCCAAGTGTTGCAAGATTGTCCATAGGTGCTCCGTGTCTGCCAAGAGGTGAATGATCATGGCTGTGAGTAGCATTACGTGTTCAGTTACACGTTCTTCAAGCAGCGGGGCTGCCCTGGCATCTGTGTCCTCGAGAAAAGGTCGTCTCGAGAACAAATACGCTTTCCCCAGCTGAGACCAAGCTCTTCATCCTACTTGTTCTCTTGAAATAGAAATCCGACAGTCAGCTGCTCTCCTGAAAACATCTCTGCACAGCGGTGGGGCTCCGACATGGAGAGAAACATGTTGGGTGTAAGTCTGATGACTGCCGTGCCGATGGCACTGTGCAGGCTCCGCTGGTGCCTGTGCTCCTGCCTGCTGATTCGTTTAGTGATGCCAGGTTTTTTCTGCTGCTGGTATTTCTAAGCCAGCCACCCCATGAATGAGTCACCAGGCAATTGTTCTCTTAGCTCTAGTTGTCAGATAGTAAATAGTGAGGATGAAGGTGTCCGAGTAAAAGGAGTAAGTAAATTTCCTTTCCATAGAGAAACTGAGCTGACAAATCCCAGTTAGAAACCAACAAGAAGCGGCTTCTTTGCAACTGAAGTTAAAGCAACAGCTTTTTTGGCCTCAGTTGGACAGAAGAAGTGAGAAGGGGCGGAAGGTGGAGTGTCACTAGAGAAAGGGACGTTCCTGAAGCATTGGTTTGACAGGCCGAGGAGGGAATTGCTTCCAAAAGAACCACCACGTCCCAGCTCTGCCGTGGTGCTGTCACCGTGTGCTTTGGGGGCATATTCACGGGAAGGTCCTGACGGAGAGAGGCTCTTTCTGCTGCAACCAAGGGGAGCACTCGGGGAGACCTTTCAAGTGCCCAGATGGCAGTGACCATCAAGTTTAATTCCTGATGGATTTATGAGTCAGAATTATCGTTTTGGTCTTGACTGGGGGGAGGGAAGAGGTGTTTCAAACCAAGACACGTGTTGGCAAACACGCTTGTCCCTGCATCTCTATCTCCTGATGACCTTGCGATCTCCCGATAGTGTGTTGTCTTGTCCATTTCCCTTTGGATGCCTCAGAACACACCAGGGATGCAGAATCCCCCCAAACCCTGTATCTTTGTTGTGACTATTGGCAGGCCCCAAGTCTCACGGCTTCAGCTCGTGTAAGGAGCTGGTGCCCTCAAGGGCAGGACAGAGATGGCCACCTCATGTGTTCTTCCTTGCCTGTTGGACAGGAACTAACTACTTCTGCTTCACCCACTCCCTGATTTTTGTAGACCTCAGAGGAACTTTAGTTATCTTGGAAATGTTGCATAGGATTGTCTTGAGTTAAGGAAAGTTGACTGTGTGGGAAAAACTTCAGAACAGTGGGTCGTTCTTGGAGGACCTCTTCAAAAGGCACCTGAAGGGATGTGTTTGTCAGCAAGGTGCTTGTGCTTTCTGGTACCCTGAAACTGGGCAGAGCTCTCCAGGGTCTGGTGTTGCTGTAAAATGGTACCTGAGATAGAAAGTGAATAATCTGAGATGGTGAAATACTTTTGATTAATACTTTTAAGTTGGTCAGAGCAGACAAAGCAGAAGCACTTCAAGAAATAGGTAGTCTTCTTGGAAAAAAAAAAAAAGGTAAAAACAATCTTGTCATCACGCTGCCTCTTGTTTCCCTGGAGAGGGAGTTCCCTGCGTAATGAGTGTTTGAAGAAGTGGCTCTAGAGATGGCCTGTGTCCATTGGTCCCTCCTCCTAAAATGCCCCAAAAATACCAGTATTGTGTTTGCAGACATGGTCTGCCTGACCAGTACAGGTAGAAGGTCTGACTACTAGTCATTTTTGTGAGAACTGTGTGAAGTGTAAGATCTGATTTCAGCTTGTTTTTCTCAGTAAGTCCAGAATATATGTTTGCATCAGTGCTTGGTATGTGTGGAATAAGCGTTGACTTAAAGAGTTTTTCAAGTTTTGTTTTACGTTTTTCTTCGGACCTGCAGGTTCCCCTGGAAAACAAGCGGATAACTCAGCCAGTGATCAAGGAAGAAACTCAGTGACCCCAACCAAGGCTGGAAAACTGAGCCATGCTTTCAGAGATCCCCGACCGGGGAGGAAAACTGCAGAGGGACAAGTGACAAAAGGTGGCGATGAGTCTGAGAGCGATTTTGAGTCTGATCCTCCTTCTCCTAAGAGCAGTGAAGAAGAAGAAGAACAGGAAGATGAAGAAGTCTTGCAAGGAGAGAATGGAGACTTCAATGATGACAATGATACCGAACCAGAGAATTTAGGCCACCGTCCTCTGCTCATGGACTCTGAGGAAGAGGTGGAGGAAGAGGAGGAAGAGAAGCAAAGTTCTGACTCCGATTCCGATCGTACCAAGCAAAAACCTGTGGAAGGGCTCCTGAGCAGTAGGTTCAGAGATGGTGTGGGCAGCGGTGAAAGGCAAGAACCTAGTTCAATGCATACATCTGGGTCTGAGGTGCCAAGTTCTGTAGTCAAGGTGGACCCTGGCCAAGAATTTGATGTGTTTGGTGCAGTGCCCTTTTTCACTCTGCAGCCTCAGGCCAGAGAGATGGACAAGGATGTTTCTTCTCAGACGGCTTTTCCTGGCCTGAACCAGGAGCAGGATGACTTTGATGTTTTCACAAAAGCCCCCTTCAGCAAAAAGGTGTCTCAGCAAGATGGCCAGGTACTGGGAACTGAGCCTCTGCTCTCCCCCACCTCTCCACTGAGCCTTGATATTTTTGGCTGCATCCCGTTTCAGCCTTCCCTTCTCCCCAAGACTGGTGGGAGTAAAGAGGACCTGTTTGGGCTGGTTCCTTTTGAAGAGATCACAGGGAGTCAGCAGCAGAAGGTGAAGCAGCAGCGTAACCTGCAGAAGCTTTCTTCTCGCCAAAGGCGCATGAAGCAGGAGGTCTCGAAGAGCAACGGGAAGCGCCACCACGGCACCCCAACCACCACGAAGAAGGCGCTGAAGCCGAGCTACCGCACCCCTGAGAGAGCCCGCCGGCACAAGAAGGCCGGCCGCAGGGACTCGCAGAGCAGCAACGAGTTCCTGACCATCTCGGACTCCAAAGAGAACATAAGCCTTGCGTTGACGGACAGCAAAGATCGAACCAACCCTCTGCAGACCGACGAGAGTTTGCTGGATCCTTTCGGAGCCAAACCCTTCCACCCGCCAGACTTGATGAGGCATCCCCAGCACCAAGGGTTTGGGGACAACCGCGGGGATCACGGCACGGTGGTAGTGGCCGGTAGAGCCAGGCAGAGCTCCTTGCACGGAGCCGTTCACGGCGCTGACGGGCTGAAAACAGATGACTTTGGTGCGGTACCGTTCACGGAACTGGTGGTGCGGAGCACGCAGAGCCAGCAGCAACAGGCGCTGGAGTTAGATCCCTTTGGAGCAGCTCCGTTTCCTTCCAAACAGTAAATGCTTCCAGTGGGTGGTTCCTCCTTCATCTCTCTGAGTTAATTAGTGGAGTAATTTATCTGGTTGAATTGACAGGGACCTGGGTTGTACACTTTCTTCAACTTAAAGAAGGCATGGCCAGCGTGCACGGTGAGGTTTAGAATGATTGCAATTTTTTTTTTCTGAGAAAAATAGGTAAAACAAACCAGGAGCGTCATTTTCTTATGACAGATGGTTCCCAGAAGGAAAAGAGGAATCAGATATGAATCGTTGTGTGTCACTGACTTGGGGCCGTGGAACATACTGTCATTCTGCACTTGTGTGTTGCCTTTTCAGTCCTCTGAGATGTGCCGAGATGGAGGGAGGGGCACAGGCAGAGATCCTGTCAGAAACCTTGTCCATATCTACAGGTGGGTTAGTGGAACTGAGGTGGTTCTTCACGTCTTAGTCGCAGTAGAGCTAAGAACCAAAATGTGCTAATATCCACACGGAGCAGCTGGAAATAGTCAAGTCTTGGCTTCCTTGGAGAAAACTCCTGTTATTAATCATGAAAATTAAGAAGCCGAGTCCTCCAGGGGCTGTGGGCCAGAGTTCCAGAGCATGGCTGGGGCTTGGCACCTGGTAGACCTCTATGCAGCTGCAGAGGTGAAAGGCAGATAATTTTTCTGTGTGCCTAAACATTCAGTTTTTTGATTTTTTTTTTCAGTAAGTGCCATTAATGCAGAATAGCAAACTGAAAGTTTAGAGTTAGAACTAAAAACAGGGAATATAATGGTTTGCAAGACGAAAAGCCTGAATGTTGGGGAGTAAACCAGCAAGGATGCAGCCAGGGTCTGCAGCACGTGGAAGACTTGTCAAAACGCTGGGAAGAGGGGCTGGTGTACACAAGGAAATCTTTTGGCACATGTGGAGTACATCAGGTGACTTGTACAATGGACTGCAAGATGTGACGATCGGTTTTATTTGATTGGGATTTGTGTCTCAAAATACCTTTTCTTTTCCTCTTGGATTTTCATTGTGAAGAAAAGGTGTTTTCTTTCAAACCTGTTGCTTTTTTAAACAATAAGGAATTGACTGTAACCTGATGCTCTTAGAAGTTCTGATCAACCTGTTGTACTTAAGTGTATTTTTTAAGCAAGTTTGGCGAAATGCACTGAGCTTTGAAGAAACCTCTCTGAAGTGGGATTTCTTTCAGAACAGAAGCAGTAAGCAGCAGGGAGCTCGCAGAAGCTGATGGTGACTGTGCCAGTAAACTGCATTTCACACCACGAAGCCTTACGGGCGGGACGTGTGTCCTGCCACATGGTGCCTTTGGGACAGGAGGTGCAGGAGACGTGGCCGGGAGCGTGCGGTGCCAGCAGGTGATGGGAACGGGCTCGTGGAGGTCAGGATTTGGTTACAGTGATGTAGAAGTACGTGCTGCATGTAGATGGGATGGCCTCTCCGCTGCCTCGTAACTTGTGCCGGGCCACGTACACTGGCTGCAGAGGGAGTCCGACTCACAACGGTCCCACTTGTCCACCTTTTTTCCATGGCAGTTCTGAAGAGGGGAGTGGAAGGGAGGTAGTTCCTCTGCTTGGCTCAACTGGACATCCTGCTCTGCTGATTGCTCATGAGTAGGTACTGGGGTGGTTATACATGGAGGATGTCAGCGTTTGTGGCTGTGTCCTGGTGTTCCCCCTGTCACAGGAGGTCCTATGGAGTATTTAGGTTGTGCTTTCCCTTCTACCCTCAAAGGCTCCTGCTGGTTATACAGTCGTTCTGAGATCTGTGAGGGTGGGGGGTAGATTCCTTACAAGATTTGTGGAAAACAACACACGACAAACAAGTCACTCAGCTCCTTTGGGAGTTGGTTTGGTAAAACACTCCCACAGAGGCATGTGAGATGGCTTCCTCTAGTCCTGGAATTGTTTAGTAGCTCATACGGATCTGTACACTTTTGTTACCTTCATCTTCCTCGTTCTCATTTTTCTCACAGGGTGACAGTGAAATACTACAGCTGTGCTTGCTGCAGTAGTGTGCCTTTGCCAGGCTTGCAAACTGAGCTCTTAGGAGGTTAAGAGTAGAAAGGTTTCAACTCTATTTGCACAGGAGTTTCTTAGGCTTTATTACTGCTGTACTCACCTGTTTTTTTTTTTTTGTGCCAAAGGCTGTAAGAAGCACACGCCGAGTTTTGTAGCATCTTCTGATACTCAGGTTAACTGTCTTGTGTTGGTTTGTTTGTTTTGACTCTGCACGTGCTAGGAGCTGCCTTCCTGCGGTTTCCTCCTGAACTGTTACCTGCCTGAAGAGCTGTTGGAACAGAAAGATGGGACAAACGGGGCGGGTGGGTGAAAACAAAGAGGAGAATCAAGTAACAGGCAACTCACCCGTGGTCTTCAATGCGGCTGGTCCTCGCCGGAGCCGCACAGCCACGGCTTTCCTTGGTGAAAATGCGACTGGGGGGTTTGCTTGGCTGTTGGGTGCCAGCAGAAAGGGTCAGCACCGTGCCTGGGGTGGGGGCTGAGCTCCGCTGCCCTCGAGGAGGGACGGTTGGACACGGGGAGAAGGCTGCGCGTCAGCACACGGAGCGTGCACTTAATCTGTTAAAATAAGAGTAGAAGGAAGAGGGTTTGGTTTTTGGCTGCTTACCCTGAGACGTCGGGCTGCTGCAGCTTTGCCGTGTGCGGTGGGCTGCTTGGGCAGAGAGTCTGGAAGGGGTTTTGCAGGAGAGCTGTCCTGAGGCTGGACACAGAAAGTGGGAGACGAGGTGAGAGCCGACTGCCAGCTCGAGTGACTCCGAAACCGGCCTCAGCCCCCGGCTGCGTGCGAGTTACGGCCGATGCTCTTGGCTTTCCGGTGGCCTTAATAACCCTGTTCTTCGTGGTTCAGTTAGGAAACCGTTCTTTGCATAAATGTAACTCTCTTGTTTCTAGAGTTAAAATTATTTATCCTTTCTAGTGGCTGAAGAGATGAGTATGCCTCGCTAAGTCGACTTGGCGTGGTATGTACACTTTATACCCAACTGAACCCGGGTTCGGGTGTAATTCCAGCTAAGATCCGCGGTAAAAAAAGTGGTACTGTTGGGAACGGGCTATCCCATTGCCTTTATTGGGTGAGCATGTGTGTGTCGGTGTGCGTGCTGGCCACGGAGCGCACGGTGACTTGACCCGAAGTACAGGAAGGCTGTTGGTGCACTGGACACAGACCGTGCTGTCTGCGCAGGCAGTACCGGCACCGTAAGGAGCTGATGCTTCCTTCCCAACTGGAAACACCCATGTTTTTTACAGCTTATCTTTCAGGGTGCTGATTGAGTGAACCACAGGCTTTTTAGAATCAGCTGCTTGACAGAGAGATTCTGCCAAAAGGTACTAAGGAGCCCTCGAGGGTTGTGGTCAGGGGAAGAGCAATGAGACAGTCGTGTTGTCTGCAGCCTCTCAAAGCGCCCGAGGTGTGCGCAGCGGTTTGGGCTGACGTGCGGGACGTGGGACCCACGAATGCCAGCTTTGGAGGCACTAACTTGTAATGGCTTTGGGTGTTCCTGTTCGTAAAACCAAGTACTGTGAAAATAAGTTGATGTATTTGCTACTGTGAGAATAAGAGTTTATCTGGAGTTTTTTATACTATATTGTGTATTTTTATATATGGAAAGTATATATAAAATATACACATGCTCGCACACATCATGTATCTCTTGGAGTTGTTGTGTTTCTAGTAACGCAGCAGCCACAATCACTTTTGTGTGGCTTAAAGGAGTGAATATGAGTGAAAGCTGCGAAAGAAAAAAAATGCAAAGGGTGGCTGCTGTGTTACTTATCAATAGTGCTTACTTGGAAAGGAAAAACAAGGAAATGGCGTGGATAGCTACGTTGGTGACTGAGGCATCACCTAATATTAAAGAGCATAAAAACTTTTAAAATTGCTGGCATTCAGCTTTTAAGTGCACTTTCCTGAACTACACTTCCATTTCTTGTTAGACTTCAAGTTTCTAAAGCTTTTTTGTGTACCACTAAACAGAGAACTTTAACTTTTTTGTGAAACTTCTGTATGTCGTAAAACACTTGGGGTTGTTAAATAAACAAAGGTGATAACAGTGACTTTGCAGATCTCCTTAAATGTTGTGTTATTGAGTATTCACATTTAGGCTTGAATTTTCTCATTATGAACTGTGTTCCTTCTGTTCATTGCTTTTGGTGGCTGTAGGCTGCTGTCACTCTTGTCAAAATGTTGTATAATACTTGCATTTGCTGCCCAATGGTCTGTCTTTGTTCACCTCGTTAAAAACCTGTTGGTCATGAGCTATTTTTAATCCTTACATGGAGTGTTACTCTCAAGCCTTCCTGCAGAAGGGTTTGGAAAGGCTGTGTTGCGATTCCTGCGCGGGAACTGAAGCTCCGTCCCTTTTCCGTAGCCGAAACATGAAGTGTGGTTCCTGACGTTACCTCTGTGGACTCGGTTCTGCACCTCAGCTTCTAGACGTGATTTTCATGTGGTTGGTCTCCCTTCTAGCAACGCTTCACCACAGCAGCTTTGTGGAATGCTGCTTGTACTGGCTTTAGCCTTGGGTCAGATGAAGTGGGAATGAGACTGGCCAAGATGCAGCAGCAGTGGGACTTAGTTGTTAATTAGGAGCTCCTGTCCTGGCTGGTCTGTCTTCTGCCTGTCGCCCATTTCGGTCTAATTTTGTTACACCCGAATCCACAAGGAAATAGAGTTTAATGGGAGGATTCAGCTTAAATGAAAACGAAGAACCTTTCTCAACACTTCACTTTCACTCACTTTGAAGTTAGTTTTTCATGGATAATGAGGTCTTTGGATCTTCATGCTGCCTGTGGTTTAAAGGCTTACAGTGCGAGTGAAGGAGGACTGGGGGCAACCCTGAGGGTTACTGGGAATAAAGGCTCTGCGAGCGCTGGCCCTGTGCCGCAGGACGGGATGAGAAGGGGCGCTGGTGACGGAGGGCGCAGGGCCGTGCCCGCTGCAGGTGCTGGCAGGACGTGGGTACAGCCAGAGCTGACAGGGGTTGGTTTGGTTTCGGACCC